CGCCCCGCCCGCCCCCGCCGTAGCCACTGCGCTGAGGTCATCGCCCGCTTGACGTCAGTACTGGGAACCCGAGCGGTGCGCGCAAGCCGAGGGAGACGGGAGGAGAAGGGGGAGGAGCTTGGCAGGGACCGGAAGAGAGCCGCGGAGGCGAGCGTGGCCCAGTTTGCTCCAAGCTGGGAATGCCCCGACTGTTCCTCTCCGCCCATCCGCCGAGATTTAGGTTAAAGGCCACCTCCTCCAAGAAGCCTTCGCTGATACCGCCCCCACCAAGCGGTTCCCTTTCTGACTCCCACATTTTCCAACTACACATTGCCAGCACCGCTCACCCGGACGCTTTGTCACCGTTTTACCGCTTTGCCGTGTTTCTTAACTAGTGGGAATGGGTTCCTCTTGGTTCTTGGGGACTATCTTCTACAATATTTACTTCCTCAGTAATCTCTCCACCCCCAACAAGCTCTCTTCCTCTACATTGATGTCTTTTCTCTTGCCTAGAAACATCGGAGTCTCAGGTATTTGGTGGGTGGGTGGGTGTGTGAGTGGGGGTGGGAGGAGTGTTTCTAGGCTTTGCTGTCCCCTCAAGTTTTTTTTCTTTTTCTCGCTTTTCTTTAAATGCCAAAATTTTTGAGTAAGTGGTGTGCTCTCAACGGTACACAATTTTCCATCCACTCCCTCTTCCTCGCCCTCCCCTCTGCCCCCACCCCTAGTCCTTCCTCCTTGTGGACTGAAGCTTTTGTAAACACCGGCTCCTCAGGGGACAGAATCCAGCCTCAAAATCTCCCTCTTCCGTACGCTGGGCTGTACTCGGGTCCTGGCATCACCATAGGCACTTCCAGATGTCTGCTGAGTGGGGTATCCTCTAAGCCAACATCCCAGGGTCTGGCATGCATGGATGTGTAATGAGTCAAACCCAACTGTCTCTGTAAATTCTTATTTTTCATGAACTCTGGACCTTGCTGATGACCTTCTTCTGGGGGAAGTCTCCCCTCCTTTTCTTTGACATGATACCCCAGGTTTCTGTGCCTCCTTTCCTGGATGCTTTCCTACCCCGCCCCCCTTCCCAATTCCCTCACTATGTCCACTCCTTTCCTCTTTTCTCTCCACTTTCTTTCCTCAGAGAGATCCTATGCATGTTCATTTTGATGTTTACTTTTTTACAACTGACTTTCACATCTCCATAGTCCATCTTTGTGCCCTTTCATCCTGCCCCTCCTACCACCTGCACTGTCCCTCCCCTTGGATGTCCAGCTACCAGTTCAATATCAGCCTAAGCCCCCTTCTCTTCTCCAAAGCCAAGTCCTTCTCCTGATCTCCATTCTGTCAGAGATACCATCATTTTCCCAGTCACTCCACCCACAAAACTCACACTCACTCTTGGCTTCTCCTTATGCTTTGCTCCTCAGATCCAGTCCCAAGACCTGTTGCTCCTGTCAAATCATCAGTCTACATCATTCATTTGCTCAGATCATCTGAGACACCTCCTCCCCCATTTGTCTACTGCATTAAGTCTGGACTTCTTTGCCTAATAGTTAAGACCTTTCATAATTTGGCCCCATCTGCCTTTTTAGGTTTCTGTCACTTTGTGCTCCAGGGTCACTCTCCTTACTGTTCTCTAAGCATCACACCATTCTGCAAACCGGAGCCCTCAACATTTTGCCCATGATCCCCATCCCTGCCCTGTAACATGGTCCCTAATCCATGCATGCCTGCAAGTACCTGGCCTTGCTGCACTGTGGCTCGTGTGGTAATCTCTTAGATTCCTCACTGCCTCCTTCCTACCTCTCCCCGTCCCCCACACTCTTGAAGGCACAGTTTAAGCATGGTCTTCCATCTTGAAAAGCTGTGCTGACCATTCTCCCACTACAGAATTAATGTTAACCATACCACCCATTTGGCATTTATAATCTATTGTTTGGTATTTTTAGTGATCTTTTTAGAGGTCGACATCTTGTCTCCACAGTTTGCAAGCTGTTTGAAAACAGGTTACTATGCTCAGACATCCTACATTTCGAGGACATTTTAGGTTTCAAATACCCTGCTCCACTGATTCATATACTCATCAAAATGCCCTGCACTCTCATTTGGCATTGAACACATCTCCTAGCTGGCCTCTTCAGCGGCTCTTCCCCAAAGCTGTATCGGGCCAGATGAGACTCTTACTCTGCTCATTGAGGGAGGAAACAACTTGTGACAGGAAACAAGGCTGGAACTGGAAACAAGATGACCTACAGAGCAGCAAACCAAAGAGACCAGGTGTCAGCAAGACCAGAATTGACCAAGTTCAACCACCAAAGAAGTCAGGGAAACAGGTCAAGGAACAGACAGGTGTACAGGATCATTCAGCACCTAAGTCTGAAAACATTTAACGTCTTCCTGGGTATGTTATTGACAGAAATCTGGTGTCTGGGCCTTGCTTTAGTCCAGAATTGATGAAAAAATTTTCTTGACAGGCCATCACCCGTTATCTGCCTCAGGAAATAGAACTCTCTAGCCTTATGTAGACTATTGTCTCGCTCATCAGGTTACACAGCTGGTTCTCAAAAGAGCCAGGACTAGGACCAGATCCGCTGAGTTTAAATCAACCCATGAAGCCCGTGTTGTTACAATGGCCCCTCATTCCTCATGGCCCACAAGTTGTTATCGCACATGATGATGCATCGAATTGGGGTGGGGGGAAGAGTGTGTATTTTGGGGACAAGGGCAAAGAGGCCTTATCCCCACCCTTATCCCCATACCCACGGTGTGTTGTAGCTTCATCACTGGTGATTGACTCCTGAACTTCGTACAGAGCATAGATAACCAGTAAGAACCAGAAGGCACTCCCCTACTCCCTCATGCTCTTTCCTTTGCTCACACAAGCCGAGGGAGAAGACTCTCAATTTACCCCACAAAGTTCCCAAGTCACTATACAGTGTACTTGTACCCAACTCAGGGTTTGGGTTCCCAACTCAACTTCCTTATAAGGCCAAATACATGATAGTAGTCCAAATCATTTTTTAAAATTTCTCACACTGCCCTTAAATTGCTAGGACCAAGATCCTTAGAAGTTCAAAAGTCCAGGTTTCCCTTCTTTTCCCTTTTGTGTGTTACCTGCTGTTTCCCTTTCCTTGGCATAGCCAAGGAGTAGTGTGAGTATCCCTCCCTCCCCTCCTTCTCTTCCTGCCCCTCTTCCCCCTCCTTCCCTTCCTCCTCATTCATCTTGTCTCCTTCCCCCAAGGGCCTTGAGTTCCATTTTTAACATTAAATGCCCTGATACACTGCACTAACCTGTGACTCCGCCCACTCAAAGTGGGCAGAGTGGAGTGAGGGTGGATAGAAGTTTATGCCTCATCTGGACCAGAAACTTCTATGCCATGTGACCTAGAGCCACTGGCTCCCCTGGATGCCCAGCTGTGTGGCCTACTCGACGACCCACAGCATCCCAAACTGCCCTCCTCAAATCAAATCCCCACCCAGAATGCGGTTCCTCACCTTAGTACTCATGTCTGGCCCTGTCTGTGGTGTCATCCACACACGCCTTGCCCCCTACTCCCAATGAGGAGCAACAAGATCATTGTATGTGAGCCCTGTCTTTCCCAGAACCCTCATGGGCCTGCAGGGTCTTGGCTTGGTTGCCAAGGTTACCTCCCAGTTTCTTGACTACACATAGAAACCTGAGGTTGAGTACAGCTGATGTGCAGGCAGAGGCTAGGCTGAGATATTCTAGGAGGATGACATCAGTTCACTCCTACACTGCACAGCGTGTCGTTTTA